GTATGTGCCAGGGGCGAAATCTAGTTTTTAAAACCTCAGGTTCGGGAGGTTTGCGCAATTAGAAGGAGAAAGACATCAATTCACAAAAGCGTGAAGCGGACACGAAATAGATTTCACACAYAATCCTGTATGCACGAGCCCCCTTTTCAGAGACCACTTGCATCCTTTTAGATCTCGTTAAAAATAAATAATTACAATAAGACASCTCTCCCGCGGGGTGATGGCGGAGGTTCAACCGGACGAACGGATGAATCTCGGCGCGCTCTGCGCGTCACGGCGCCSYCCCTTTCATCCGCTCCCACCCCGAAATCATCCATTAAATCAAAAATAAAAACACAAAATATGGTTCATCTTCGATTCCAGCCAGCTTCCCTTTAATCCTCATCAGTCTCCCGCGATGTCTTTTGTTTTCTCAGACAGCCGCGGTCCGAGCGCAGGAATCCACGCATCCAATCAGTGTCCAGCTSCCAGCGGCGGCTCTCCAAATCCCGCGCTTCTGTAAACCATCCAGGAGGGTGTGGGGGTCAAACCGGCGTGCCCTCTCCCGATTTGAGCTGCCTCATGTCGGGAGGTGATAATCCAGGCGGCTCCGGGTGTCAGAAGTTGAAGGACGGAGCGCGTCCAGGAAAATCTGAGACATTAACTCCATCATCATCATCACCATCATCCTCATCATCATCTTGTCTAAGGATGCGGTGACAAAACAAAGTGACAGAAGCTGGCCATCCAGGTGGATTCGCGCCAAATCAATCTACAAATCATAACGAAATGTTGGATTTAAACACGGTTAAAACTCGATCAAACCAGGTATTAAAACGATCCTTTTAATCCTTTCATTGGATCAATTTATCCTCCATTTTGGACGAGCCACTTCAACATGCCAGCTTTCTTTTTCTTTTTCTTTTTTTCAAACTGTTCCAACTTACCTCTGCTCGCGCTCTTCACRGCGGATTGGAGGCGGAAGAAAGAGGGAAGGAAAGGAAGGAAGAAAAAAAGAAGAACCCACGCGCTTCACTTTCAAACCATCTTCGTGGACGCACGAGCGAGCGAACCTGCGCTCTTTATCTGCGTACAGGTGCAAAAAGAAGAGGAGGGGGGGTGGAGAAGCGCGCGCTGCTTGCCTTTCGCTATTGCTGATGGTGCGTTCAGTGGTCCTCCTCTCCAGGCGCGCTCACTTCAATAACCGGAGCTTTGTGCGTCTTGGCGCGTTTGTGTATGCGCGTGAAGAAGCGTGTGTAGTTGTGTGTGTGTGTGTGTGT